TTGTTTATTGTTCCAGTTGTGAAGATTTTGTCTTTTTTACACCGAGTTTTAAAATCCATACTGAGAGCTGTATTCTTTGATCTTCATCGGTACATATTTCAAGTTCTTTCTCTTTTCAGCAAGAAGGATTGCGTCATGGGCATATTGCAAACCATTAATAAGCTTTCCTCTGATTTGGATATGATGGTGATCTTCATATTTCTTACATTATTCATGTTTCTTACATTATTTTCTCATCATATATGTATATTGAATAAGTATACTGAAATGATACAACCCCGGCACATGCCTTTTCTTATTTTAAAACATTCAACATCCCTTGAACTATACTGAAGACTGCCTCTTGGGCTATATGCAGATTCTAGCTGGGCAAAATTAAGTGTTCTGGAATTCTGATTCTTCTCAATATTATCTACAGTTTGATATAATCCACCCAGCTGAATTATAATCCACCCAACATGGTCATTAAAACACACGTAGATATTTTCTGTTGTTCTCTGTCTTCAGGCCCAATCCATCAGGCGTCACCAATGCTGTTAGGTGCCATTAAGGTGGTTCTCACTCAGAGTGACCCTATGCACACCCGAACTCTGCATGGTCCTGTGCCATCCTCACCAATGTCCCTATAACTGAACCAAGCGATGCAGCCTCGGTGTCAGTCCATTTTGTCTAGGCCTTCCTCTTTTTGTCTGCCCCTACATTTTACCAAGCATAACATCCTTCTCAAGGGACTGGTCCCTCCGGTCCAAAGTACATAAGACAGAGTCTTGCCATCCTGGTCTCCAAGGAGCACTCTGGCCTTACTTCTCCCAAGACTAATCTGTTTGTCCTTTTAGGAGTCCATGGTACATTCCATATTCTCCTACAGCACTCCACTTCAAATGTATCGAGTCTTCTATGGTCTTTCTTAGTATACCAATAGTATACCTTCACCAACACTGGACCTCATTCCGTATCGTCTTCTGAATCTAGCTTGAATTTCTGACAACTCCCTGTTAATGTACTGCTGCGACTGTTTTGAAAATTATGATTGATGTGATAATAATGATATTGTTCAATAATTCCTCTCTTTTGTTGTGTGTTAGTCTGGGTACACTAGAGAAACAAATCCACAGAAACGTGTGTATGAGAGTTTTATATAAAGTGTAAGTGTACATTAAGAAAGCATACCAACCCAGTGCTGTCCAAGCCCATAAACCCAACATTAGCCAATATGTCTGACACCAATCTGCAAAGTCCTCCTCAATCTCAGAAAACACATGCAACGATGCTGACTGCAGGGGGAAAGCCGAATCAGTGAGCGTGTAAGCATCTCAGCGCTGGCAGGGGTCTCCACACAGCTGCTCCAGCACCCAGGCCTGCATCAGGGTAGGTCCATGTGGCTTCTCCTCAGGCATGTCTTGCAGGAAGTGAGCCTTG